GAAAGAAAGAAAGAAAGAAAGAGAGAAAGAAAGATTGTCTATCGCGCAAAAATTACCCCCTGCGGACTGTCATGGAAATAAAACTGTTTTAATACTTTGTCTTTTAATTTAGAGAATACTATTGAGAGAATGCCTCAAGGGGATGGCTAGAGGTCTGAGAAAAGAAAATAAGATCAAGTACCGTAATTAAATCGACACGCATGCCAGTAACCTGCATGTGCTCCACCTCCGAGTTCCCGGATGTCAAAACAAGGAAGGACTAATGATGTTTATCAGTTCCGAAAGATAACGCAATCAAAATACAAGTGATATCTTTGAAGAACTGACAACTGGATTGCTCGTCAATGGAAACACACGAAGGCAACAGTCACAGTACCTTAAGGCCAACCAGAGTGTCCAAGAAAATARCAAAAGAGGACATCTATGTAGAATACTGTCTGATGATTGTAATGATTGGATGCTACGTTGTACTGGCTGTCTTCAGGCACATGTTGATGTCACTGGTGCTGGACACTGACAATAAAGATGTGTAAATATGAGTGAAAAAATTGGCAAATCATGAGGTCAAAAAGCAAGTTCCCTTGACTTGTCAGTTTAGATGAGAAATATTTGGCTCATGGAGGCAAGCATTCAAGCACTTAGTACTTTGTTTTCTCAGAAAATTAAGGTTGTGTTGTTCTCCCCTGGGGAACTTAAGTATGTTATTGACTGTTATTGGACTTGAAGAAGATTTCCTTGTTGAGAAAATGAAAAAAGGTTGGAAAAATCTAGTCATAATCACTAAGAGAATTAACCCTTTTCCATGCAAATGCAAGCTTTTTCTAACGTCAACAAYTTTTTTGGGAGCATAAGTTTCAAGGAAGATGGATCCAGAAATCAAAGACGAATGATATCATGTTACAAAATACGATTTTGTATTATGTTTCACTTTGTCCCTGTTATTTTWTTATTTTCTCTTTTTTTGAGTTATTTTTATGTTAATTAACTTGTTTTTAGTGAAGAGAATGATCAATATAGTTGGTAGTCTTGAGGCATGAACATTTGTCCTTTTTAGTTATGTGAAACGTTATTGTACTTTTGACGGCTCTACGAGATTGACAACCCCGTTCCAAAACGGTCTTCTGAAGCAAGTTTGCCGTTGGTTCATCAAAAATGTATTGAGTTTATTACTATTATCATTATTTTTTGGTCTACGGAAGACAAAAAAACGTAAAGATGTATTGACATAAGGTTATCAAAAACACAGAAATAGCAAATTGCCACATGGCGCGCAGCACCRAAAACATCGCCAGCGCTGATGTGTTTTTAAGATATTTCGTACGCACTTTGACCTGTGTTCTTTGCACTCAGCATTACAAGCCAAAGCCAATTTAAAGCTAGTTATTGACTGTTGACGACCTTATTTTTCTATTAAAAAGTTAAGCAGGATATGAAACTTGTACGTAAAGGAAATTGTTTTCAAAGTACGATTAACTGACCCATGCGACGGGACTATTCAATTACTCGATCGTGTTTTAATTATCTATTTTGAGTAATAGCGATCTGCAATAGCGCAGCGCACTGATTCTAAAAATAGCTTAAAGATTCGGACAAACATTGCATTCTGTTTAACCGCTACGAGGATTATACGAACCGATTTTATTATTTTTACTTAAAGTTACAATAATAACCCATGTAAACTGAGATCAACTGCGATCGGCTGTGAAAATTATCTGCTGAAAGTAAACTTGTAAGTTTGTTTGTCCGAATTTCGCCTTTGTCTTCGTTTTTATGACGTCACGGCTGCGCTGCGCTATTGCAAAAGTCAAGTATATCTATATATCTATATAAAAACTAATTTGCATATTTCCAGATTTAAAATATAACGATTTTCAACCAAAMGTTAGCCAAATATCTTGTATTAATGCTCACAATGTACACTATGATTATATTTCACCGAAAACATTGTATTGAACCTTTATKAAAACGTTTTTAAACTGAAAATTGCCCATAATGCACCCGATATATTGATATCCATTTTATTTACAAAATKTTTGCAAAGCGCTGTAAATATACTTGGTTTGTCGTTTGCAAAAAGAAAGAAAACGTTATTTAATCTGTTTATCAGCTTATGCAACATACGCATGCAGGTCTATTCTTTGCAACTCTACTCTGACAAGTGGATTCAGCAAAGCAAAACTGAGTTGGAATATGCTGCTTGCAAGAGAAAATGAACAAAGAAAAGAAATCTCTGGTACATTCATGCTTGTGACAATCATTGGAAGCCGTTTAATTTTTGATGCTATTTTTAGAATTCATTCATTTTATCGTTCGTTGTTTTGCGYGCGCATACTGCGCGAGCGTAAAAAAACAGACGATCAAACGAATGATTCGAAAAATTGCATCAATGATTCTAGAWAAATARCATCAGAGTGCTCATGATGGGGCGCGGGAATTCCTTCTCTYAGTTCATTGTCTCTTGCTGCCTGTGGTTGTGAATATGTTTCAACTGTGTGCCAGTCATTATCAAAAAAAGAAAGAGAGCATACTAAAGGAAATGGCATGGTGCTTCGTAATGGGCATGACGCAAGGTTATTGGCCTGGCATCGAGCCTAGTATCTTTTGGATCAAAGCCCCAAGAAAAAAGGGATATTATCTTACGATTAGAAATTTGCTTCAWATTTTCCTTTTCCGGTGCCATGCCGCGTACCTAAGGTTATCCCATACAGCTAGTCAGTATGCAAGAAAGATATGCAGTTGCATTTATATACAGCTATTTCAAAAACGACGTCGACGGTTTTGTTGCATGTTGCGTGTCACATATTGCATCATTTTCTATCTATATACATTTAATTGTGAACAATGTCAGCAAATCCAAAATATACCGGAAAACGACCATATCATTGTAACCCTTCGCTATTCTCACTGGGAGCACTGCGCACGATGCCTGATCAAATATAACACGTTTATTTATTTCTCGAGAGGAATGCGTCCCATGGGATTACATCTCACACGGCTCTCATGTGCCTGAGACGATTACAAACTATCTTTTGTACACAAAATAAAACTCTTTGAACCAGTTCGGAATTCGAGTAAAAGACCAGKTCGACGCCCCACCCACCTCCCCGCGGCGATGAATTGAACGAGCTTCCTACAGTGCGTGCTACCTGCTCGCTTCCGCCCCAGAGGTAATTTCTCCATAACTTAGTATCACTCCAGGTAATATTGTGCTGGGGAGTTCACARTTGGAATATATTACTTATTATATTCACATTGTCCATAATCCATTTCGGRCATGGTATGCAACAAACAACTGAAGGCTTTGCCAACCTCAACTATGGGCCTTACGCATACGCCAGCCATTGACTGAAACAAGAGATTTTYCCACACGTAACAAGCCTAACTCGAAAACTACCCTGTTTTCTTAGAATAGACCTTTTTCGTGGTGTGACAATGTTTTCCCAATTGAACGTGACAAACCTYTKGGGGAATGAAGAGCTATTGTTTTGAAACTCGTCGGGATATCATCGTTATTCCTTTCGTAGACTTTGGGATACTCATGAATTTTTCGAAGAGYAAAAACAAAAGAAAATGAATCCTCTGGAGGTTCGTCACGCTGAATTGGGAAAACATTGTMACWCCACGAATAAGRTYTATTGACTCTAGGCATAAGTTTAAAARTTATAGAAATTATTTGAAAAAATAAAACAGCTTTTTCAGTGCCTCGTTAGGTAAGGAAGCACGCAGGAAGTGACGTAAGCGTGAACGAAGTGTAAGGAGAAGCACGAGCCGCAGACGTCCTTAACTTACTTTGTCACAGTTATATTTGTGAGGTTTATTTAATTTTGTACTGTACTAAATATACACCTTTAGGTAAGAGTAGTATTGTAAAACTTAACTTCCTAGCAATAAAATTAAAAGACAAAGTAAAACTRAATTAATAATAAAGATAAAAATCATTTTTGGAATTAAGAAATCAAAAAATAGTGCTGATAATGAAGGATTAAAAATAAACGACTTGGTTTTTTTATTTTAAGAAATTCAAATGATAAATAATTGATATCAAATTAATTTGAAGTGCWGAATCATTCTAAATGTGAAGAATATGCAACTTAAACAATACCTGTGCCATAATTTATCTATTATTTTATAGTTTTTACCAATGTTTGGAATCCCACGGACTTTTAATGGTATCTCTAACAAGGTATAAACAACCCTATACGGTAATGGAAAAACAGTGGTATGCATCGCATGAGGAAAGACTTTTGGTGTTTGGACTTCAAATGCTTACTGTTCCTTGACAAGCGATAAAAAAACAACAGTACTTGACGTCGAAACATAGAAGGCGTTGAAACCCATAATCACTTTATTCGGCAGAACAACTTTGGTACGGTGGTTTTCCATTAACAATTTGTTTTTATTATATCTCCTGGATGTGATGTGTTTTTAATGTCTCCATAGCTCAACGGTAGTTAATGAACAGTTAATGAACCGTTGTCCTTGCAGCTGAAAACCAGTAATTATTAAATATAAAATGAAACTTAATGAAAAATTAATTACTGAATTATTTCTCTTCTTTTTTATCTCCTTATTGTAGAGTGTTATAAGGATTACATTCTCTAGGGATCCTATAAAAGGTCATTTGAATCGAGGAGAAATAGTGTAAACAGCAGTAGCACTAGTAGCACAATCTGTAGTCTATATAAAAAGATGGCGTTATTTCTGAAGCTCTTTTTAATATCCCTCAATGTTTTTTACGATGAAGTTTTTGGCCAAAAAGGAATCGATAGGACGAACGATCTTAGCTATGCCAACATCATGGAAGACCGTTTTCACTACCTAAACGAGCGTTCCATCACTTCGAAATCTGTTCGACATGAGCTTGATTGTGTCGTGTTTTGCATCGAGAGGCCATCTTGCATTTCTTTTCAAGTTAAAACTCAGGCTTGCACCCGTGGGTTCAGAGACTGCGAGCTTCTAGCAACGGATAAGTACCACTCCAATATAAGCCTTGTCAAGAGTTTGGACTATCATTACTACACTTTCTATGTAAGTATTCTTTTAGTTTTGAACTAGGCAGAGTATAAAGATTGGGTTGGTACGGCAGGTTTTCAATTCATAGGATTGATATTTACATAAGTTTAAAGTGCCGGGGCTTTGTTTATTAGACTGCTACCATTAGTAGGCTACCATTTATTTTCAGCGACCCGCGAATTGCATATAAATAGAGCTGCACAAGGATAATTTCAAGGAAAATGAAAATCGGTGTTTTCTTAGGTGACTTTCAATTCTAAAGAATGGACCATTCTCAAAAGTATCGTGGAATTGGTGCCATTTCTTTTGTATTTCCATGTTAGCCCCGCATTCAAGACAATTTTAAGAAGAGTGCATTCAAATTATGAGAGCAAAAGTCAGGGTTGCTAACTCGGGACCAGTCAGCATGCATTTGATTTTTCGGAAAAAAGGGCACCGGAGAACCTCCCAGAAAAAAAATATCCTCGAAGGGAAAGACTAAACAAACTCTACTCACCTTTTGATGCCGAGTACAAGAATCAAATCCGGTATAGCTGGGCTGAGTCCAGAAATCCAATGTCGAGACCATGTAGACTAGATTCTGCCTTCAAACGAAAGTGTTCTGAAAATAAATAAAGAAGGTAAAAAAAAAAAAAACAACAAACAAAACAGAACATTTTAGGTTACAACATTAGTCCAATCAATTCTTAGTGAGCATAAGAATAATATAAGAACCTAAAAAAATCAATTATTAGTTTTGATTAATTCTTGACAGTTTGGATTAACAATCGCCGATCAAGTTATTTGTTGTTTTGCAGTCCCAATGTCACAACAATCCATGCCAAAATAACGGAACCTGTTTGCCCAACTATGAAAACCACACGTACACCTGCAAATGTCCACAAAAATACTATGGGGAACACTGTCATTGTAAGTTGTACTATTTTGTAACATTTATTGAATGATGAATTTGTACTGTTCAAGGCCTAAGTGTGAGCGCTCCTATGATTTCCCATTAGTCTTCATATGTTAGTTCACTGTATTTTGTTCTTTGTCCGTTCATTTTACTACTATATTACTAGCATGCATAGACTAGTAATATTTATTGTAGATATATTGGAGATACTAAGCAAAATAAAATACAATTAATAGTTTTGTTTTTGTCTTTCTAGATATAAACATGTGTTTCTCAAGGCCTTGTAAAAACAACGGAACGTGTTGGAGTACTGCAAAGAGCTATACTTGCACATGCAAAGCTGGGTGGACAGGAAAACAGTGCCAAGAAGGTAAGAAACAAACAAACAACAACTTACACGACCGAGTGACCGAGTGACCGAGTGACCGAGTGACCGAGTGATGACCGAGTGA